CCACCACCACCACCACCACCATCATTCCCGCTCTCTCGTTCCCCTCTCCTTCTGCTTCCTCTCTCCGCTGCCCGTTTTCTTCTCGGTTCTGTACTTGAGAAAGTATGTGAAGGAAAGAGAGCGAACGGACGCCAGAAAAGCAATGAAGAAAAAAGATGTGTTGGAACAGTCGGGGAGGATGATTGAAAAGAGGGCTCATGTGGCACGGCACATGGGTGTAGGATCTGAGTTGGAGCGACTCCGTGTCCCAGTGGTCCAAAGATGTGGATGACAATGGACAGACTGTCTCAACTCTGTCCTGCCTTCATTTCAACACTCCTTCTCTGCGGTGGCTTTGAAAAACGTCAAAGTATTTGTTGTGGTTTTTGTGTCTGAGTTCCCTTCACGTCCCGTAGAGAAGGCACCAGAATACTTTTATCACATGCCATCGCCTTATTTATCGTAAATCCAAGTGAATATTTTCACAGTAATTATAACATGTTGGAACAGGCATGGGTAAACTACGGCCCGGGGGGGGAGGGGAGGGGCAGATATGGGCCATTTGGCCAAACTTATGTCCAAAGGATGTTATTAATTTATATTATTATTATAATACTGCTGCCTCTTCTCTGCAATGCCTGTATTTCCCCAGTAGATGGCAGAGAAAAGGCTAAAAGCTTTTATCTTTATCTTTATTTATCTGCTCCTGACCCCCCCTGACTTTTGTTGGATGTAGAGCCCATCCATCCACTCGTCCATCCCTCCCTCCCTCCATGTCGTGGGTGGAGTTGGACCCCAGCCTCTCACTCATCCAACACAGGCGGTTTTCAGACACGAAACTGCTGAACGTGGCCCAAAACGTGGTCCAGACATTTTCCAGCCGTTGCTGTGAATGTCTAACGTTAATGTCTAATGCAGCAGGTGATCAGTGCAGACACGGCGGCAGGAGAACGTCAGGAACATTCAGCCAGGGTCGGCGCCTGGGTACGGCACGGAGGAGGCGGGAAACTGGTCGACTTCGTTTGTGACGTTTCTGCAGCTTTAACTACTGACGGGGGAAATGTGGACGTTCACATGGTCCACATGTCTGGACCATGTCTGGACCATTGACAGTCATTATCAGCCTCTACTTTTATGACATCAACTTCTATCATTCCCGTCTTCTCGCTCCAACTCTTTCGTGATGAATGTTTTAATGGCCTTGAGTGTTGACCAGTCGTGTTGACCAGTACTGTTGACCAGTAGAGTTGACCAGTCGTGTTGACCAGTCGTGTTGACCAGTACTGTTGACCAGTAGAGTTGACCAGTCGGGTTGACCAGTAGAGTTGACCAGTAGAGTTGACCAGTCGTGTTGACCAGTCGTGTCCATCGTCAGGACATGAAGCTCAGCAGTAAACCACCGTTCAGAGTGGACATATATTTATAAGTTGAAGCTGTAAAATCATTGTCCTCAGTTTCACGGCTCGTACTTTAGGGCTGGATGATACGTTGACGTTGACGTCGAACTGCCGTAATTCGAGCTTTAACATGAATACTCTCCACCAGAACATATAGCAGGGTGGATGGTGGATCGTATTGTGACTGGTGTGTAAAAACAGATTCTATTTCCTCGAGGTTTCACGGAGCGATACTGGGAACTGGTTTAACCTGTGGAAAAAAGGAAGGAAAGAAAAGGAGAGTGAACTACTTCTCATCTCAGAAGCTAGAAGTTATTTTCTTTTTTTCCCAAACACCATCACCACCACTGCTGCAACTTTAGAATCTAGGCCTCAAAGATAACAGCAAGTTGTCACCACACTGTTGGAGGTGTACAGCTCCACCAAAGGTGACGCGACCCTGAGAAAAGTAGAAAATTGTACAATTGAATTATATATATATATATATGTTTTTTTCTCTCACACACTGAGGCCATTGACTCCCAGTTTCTTGGGAGCCATGATGCCAGTTCACATTAAAATGTCACTGATTCTTCCTGCTTCAGTCTCTGCTGACTCTTTTCCAGCTCATTACTCTGTAATTTGATGGAGACTTTTTCCTCTCTCTCCTTCTTTGTTTCCCTACTGAGAATGAGAGGAATGGCCTACAGTACAGCTGGGATTGGTTATTATTTACTGACTTGGCACACACACACTCACGCACACACAGTCACACACACGCACACACATCCAGTGGAAACAAATTGGGTGAATCTGCTCTGCACGTAGGAATGTGAAGCGCCTGTGTTTGTGTGTTTTAGGTCTGGATGACAGAGCTGAGGAAAGAGAGAGAGAGAGAGAGAGAGAGAATTAAAGTTTGATTCAGGGCGTGGACAACAGTCTTTGTCCTCCGTCTGTCTCGTCCGTCTCCACGCTCGCCGCCGTCGTCGGCCCTGTCTCCTCAGAGGTCAGCCGTAGGATGAAAGGATCTGTTGCTCCACTGAGGGTGAGGAATTACAGGGAGGGAGAGCAGAAAGGAGAAGTGAGGAGGTTTCTGTGTTGACCTTGTCCCGCTGCCAGACGGTGGGACGGCGATGGTGGTGATACAAAGGATTCTGGGAGTGAGGGGGGAAAAAAAGAAGGGAAGAGGAGAGACGGCGTTTATTACTCAACTTTAAACACACGTAAATGACTTAAAGGACAAAAACAAAAGAACGGAGACATAAAAAAAGAAAAGTTCTTCTCTGTTTAGGTTTTTCAAACAGTTTTGAAATATTCTCTGACGTTGTCTGGTGAGGTTAGTTCTTCTCTGTTTAGGTTTTTCAAACTGTTTTGAAATATTGTCTGAAATTTGGAAAACGTTTCTCCTGACGTTGTCTGGTGAGGTTAGGTCTGTTTGACCCCGCCGTAGTTTGGGAACCTTGATACGAGATGTTTCCGTTGTCTTTTACCTCTGACTGTTGGCGTCCGGATGTGAGCGGACAGACTGACCACCGGCTCTTCTTTGTTGGACCAAAGTGTTCTGAACTTCAGTTCCAACATGGAGGAGCTCGTGGCTAAAAGGAATAGCTAGCTCTGCCGGCTCCTGTCCAATCAGCTCCTGGTTTAATTGGGCGTTTAATTACCAGAGATCTGCCCTCGGTCCGGGGTATCAGACGTCTGACCCCACGTCACCTGCTGCGGGCGAAACATGAAAACGTCCAGACCCGAGTCCCTGGACCCAAATAATATTAACATTCAATAAAGTTTAATAAAACCCGGTCCGAGCTCGACGTTAAAAAAAAAAAATCCTCAGGGCGTTGAAGTGACGACAAGGTTCGCCGCCTGTGACGCTGAAATCTGCTGAGGGCGATAAAAAAAACGGTTATTTATGTTGAAATGGCTTTAATGGGCCGCGATGTGGGCGGGATTTCTGCTGTCAGACGATGACAAATGGGTCGATGTTAGGGGTGGGGGGGTGAGGGGGGGGGGGGGCGAGAGGTTGGGCAACAGGGTGCAATAAAGTAATGTTTTTTGGGAGGTTTAGCTGCTGCCCTCTGCAGGGGTCACTGCAGCGGGTGATTTGACACAGTTTTATTACTGCGTGTTCTTTGTGACGTAACCGTCATCACGGAGCGAAACACACTGTGGTCACATGGTCACATGGTGTGTTAACGTGTTGGTTTCTACCTTTGAACTAGAGCTGCAGCTGAAGTTTTAAAACTTTTTAAATTATTAGTTAGTTTTAATTATAAATGGGAAAAAATAACCCTCTGAATAAAAGTAACAACCACCACAAAAAGAACAAAAGTAAACGAAACACAAAAATATTTATGTAAATGCTGCAGCGAAACCGACAAAATAAAACATTATAGATGATAAATAAATAATTTAAAATCTCAATCAATCCATTTGAGATGATTAATAAAGTGATTGTTTCAGCTTTAGTTTCAATCATGAGAATTATCGCCACCTACTGGTGGAGTGTTTTGTTACTGCGGAAGGTTTTCGTCTCACGTGCTTCAACTACTAAAAAAAAAAAAGAACTACAGACAGAGGGCAGCATCCTAGCATCAACAGAACTGGGCATGAAAAAATACTTTTAAGGACTCACTGCATCTTTCAAAATTGTAGAAACAGGAAAAACCAAAAAAACAGGTAAGGGTTAGTAATACATATATATTATTATTTAACCATTTCAGTTCACTCTAAATGAACTCTTAAAACACTTTGAGAAATAGTAAAAAAAACAACAAAAAAAAGACTTTTTCTATGAGATTTTCCTTCGTCTGCAGCGTCACACGATCCAGTGTTAATGTTAAAAACACAGACTCAGCTTTAAAATATGTTCACGCTTCTCTTCCCTCCCAGAGAAGAGAAGTGCTTGGTGTGATTTATGATTAGAACCAGATTAAAACCTCGTGCTGCGTCTAAAGAAGGCGGACACGACCGAGGTCGGCCCAAACCTGCTCCCAAACTGATGTGACGTCGCAGGAGGACGAGTCGATCCCAGAGCAGCCTCAGCTGATCAAGTTCATAAATCCCACCTCAGATCCCTCCCCCTCCCTCCCCCCCCCTTTACTCTTTACTCCGCTGTTATTCCGACTGTCGACTCCAACTCTCTTTAAGATAATTTTCATCTCCATTTCCTCCGTTAATTACGGGAGTTACCGCTGCCCTTTCTCTGTAAAAGTGTGTAATTCACCAGTTTCTGTCGACCTGCCTCGTGTGCTCCGGCTCAATTTTCGACTTTTTCCAACATGGCGTTCAACGGCCCACGGAGTCAAAGTCGAAAAATGTTCCACTCTGGAGAGGAAGGGCTGAAGTTCTTCAGTTGTGGAAAAAACAGCTGGGACTCTCACCCTTAAAAAATAAGAAGAAAAAAAAATTAATAACGTGAATTTTTTGTATTTAGTTCATCAATTTCAATTAAATCAATTAAAAACAAGAATGTTTTTTTTTATTTTTGTAAAATAAATTCTGGGATTTAGTGCAGGGTTCCCCAACCCCTGGTCCGCGGCCGGAACAGGTCCGTGGGCCATATGTTACCGGGCCACAGTGGGAAATGTACTTCATTTTTACTGATTTATTTCATTCAAAGAAACTCCGGTCAATTCTTTTTAAAACTTTCTTCATTTAAAGAGAATATTATTTCAAAATAATATGTCGTTCAGACTCCAATACTAAGAGAATAAGGTCTACAAGAAGCGTTCAGACTCCGATACTAAGAGAATAAGGTCTACAAGATGTTTTATTTTAAAAATGAACATATTTCTACCTTCATATGTAAGAATTTAATTTCATGATTTCTTCCAAATTTTAGTCGAGGGATTGTTTCTGTTTTTCCTGTGGTTCAAGTTATTGGATTTAAAGACTTGACTTTAGGAGCGTTAAGAATCCGGTCACGACACAAACGTTGTCGTGAATTTCGGGAAATTTGTTTCTGGAAAGAACCGTTTTTCCTGTTTTGGGAGATTCCTCTCCCACTCTTTCTCCCCCGTCTGCTGCCACCACTCCCCTCCTAAGTGGTTAAGACGCCAGTGCGAGCGTAGGAGCCTCGACTGGTGGCGATTGCAGCCTCTGTCTGTGAAGTTGCATCACTAAATGCTGTTAAGATGAAGAAACGGAGGGAGAGAGACCGAGAGACAGGATGGAGAAACGTGTGAGGAGTGGGTGTAAAGCCCAGATCCAACTCCCCCCGTCTCCCTCCCTGCTCTGATCATTTTCCCCTCCACGGCTAAGAACGCTCCATTTTTCTCATCTTGAGGAAAAAAAACAGTTGCTCAGCCATAAAGAACATGCTGTGAATCACAGCTGACATCATAAAAACGGCGGTCCGACACAGTCACGAGCTGTGAACACTGACAGTAAATTTCCTAGTTTCCCAGTTCGGGCGACCGAGTCCACCGAAGTGCAGCGGCGGTGGTTTTGTTTTTGTGAAACATGATACGGTCGTTGGTGTTTTGGACCAAATCCTCGGCCGTAGGCTGTTATTCCAAAAACACTGGAGCGGCAGAGGAAAATCGAGCCGATCCAGTTTGACCCCACGTGACCTGTGTTTTTCTGCTCGTCTCCGTCGCGTCACTGGACGAAGACCGCTGTGGTTTTCTCTCCGTGACTTTGTCCCATGTCTGTGTCCTCACACTCCCTCTGCCCCCCCCACGGCCCCACCTCCCCCTGCTGGCTACTCTGGCCTACTGCTGTTGGGGCAGGTGTCCACTTTCAGGCACTTTCAGAATTTTTCCCATGAAACCTCAGCGTCCGTCTGCAGACGAACTCTACAGTAGGAAAAAACAAAACAAAAACCAAACAGTTGCTCCTGATATTGCACTTATTGCAGCAGTGTTGCGTAAGACCTTATAAGGATGATGAAAAGACCAAAGGACACAACCCCTCCACCCCCCCCCCCCCCCCCCCCCCCCCCCCCCCCACACACCCCCACCAC